GTCTATTTCCTGGAGAGTCTGTTGCTCATAATTAAAATATTTAATTAGTCATTGTCATTTTTATTCAGGGCAGGGAATTTCTCTTGTTTCTCTCTCTCTTTCTGTCTCGCTGTCTCTCTGTCTGTCTCTCTCTCTCCTCTCTCTGTTTCTCCCCCAAGTCCTGCCTCCCCCTCTAATGTGTTTGATATTGGTCTGGAAATATGCCTGCACTTTGGCAAAATAGTACTATTTTGTGTCTTTGAGTGCTTCTAATATACGCAGACGGCTTCATGCTATAAATTGTGTTGTTTCTTTCCCTCCTTTTTCTTTCATCATGAAAAGTTTCAGACACACAAAAGTTATAAAGAATAATGCACATCCAGAAGCCAGCCTAAGGCATGAAATTCGGCAAATACAATCAGAGCTCACCTCCCACACATGTGGCCTGGGAACCTATTTTCTGATCTTTTCCTTGCACTGGGGTGTGGAAAATTTTCACATCTCTTGGGGCATGGAAAATTTTTGCATCTCCTGGGGTGTGGAAAATTTTCACATCTACCATAGCAAATTATGTCAGCGGCCAAAAGGAAGGGATGAGAGAAGCCCCTGCTCCACTGAGCTTCCTTTTGTGCTTTAGCAACCTCAAGGGTAGGCTGTTCTTGCCAACAAAGCCTTTGTTGTAACACAAGCTGCCGTGGATCCTCCCCACACACAGGGAGGGTTCTTCACAAGAGGTGAAGAAGGAGCCACCCACAGCTAGGCCCTCCTGAGGCAGCCTGGGAGCCAAACATCACCATACAAGGGACAGAGGGTGCCTGGGGTCGTTTCACCGAGTGGGTCCAGGTACACACAGGGCCAGGGGACTGAGATGACAACGCAGAGGACGCGGCCAAGTCTATGCTTTTCATTGATTTATCCTTCACGCTGAACACAGAGCTTGGCACACAGCTGGTGCTTAATAAATGCTTGTTCCACTGAGTCCCCAGGGCCTAGCACAGAACTTGACACATAGCCAGTGCCTGATAAACGTTCTACTGAGTCCCCAGGGCCTAGCCAGAGCCTGGCACATAGTCGGTGCCTAATAAATGTTCCACTGAGTCCCCAGGGCCTTGTACAGAGCATGGAGCCAGCTGGCACCTAATAAACGTTTGTCCTACTGAGTCCCCAGGGCCTAACACAGAGCATGGCACACAGCTGGTACCCAATAAATGTTTGTTCTATTGAGTCGGCAGAGTCTAGCACAGACCATGGCATAGAGCTGGTGCCTAATAAATGTTCCACTGAGTCCCCAGGGCCTAGCACAGAGCATGACACACAGCTGGTGCTTAATAAATGTTTGTTCTATTGAGTCAGCAGAGTCTAGCACAGACCATGGCATACAGCTGGTGCCTAATAAATGTTCCACTGAGTCCCCAGGGCCTAGTACAGAGCATGGAGCACAGCTGATGCCTAATAAATGTTTGTTCTACTGAATCTCCAAGGCCTAGTACAGAGCATGGCACATGGCTAGTGCCTAACAAATGTTTGTTCTACTGAGTCCCCAGAGCCTAGCACAAAGCATGGCACACAGCTGGTGCCTAATAATGTTTGTTGCACTCAGTCCCCAGGGCCTAGCACAGAGCTTGGCACCTAGCTGGGGCCTAATAAATGTCTGTTTCACTGAGTCCCCAGAGCATACTACAGAGCCTGGCACATAGTTGATGCCTAATAATGTTTGTTCCACTGAGTTACAAGACCTAACACACAGCTTGGCACACACCTGGTGACTAAGTGTTCCACTGAGTTGCAGGGCTTGGCATGGAGCCTGGCACACAGCTGGTGACTAATAAATGTTCCACTGAGTCCCCAGGGCCTGGCATGGAGCCTGGCACACAGCTACTGCCTAATAATGTTTGTGGGAAAGAAATGGAGCCAGAGGGAGGGAAAGAGAGAATGAAGGAGAAAAGGGCGGGAGGAAAGAAAGACAGCCTAGCCAGGAGTGGCCACCTCCAAACCAGGGTTGGGATCCCACCCATGGCACTGACTGGCCTAGAAGCAACTGGCAGAGCCATGCCTGAGTTAGGCTCAGTTTCCCCTCTCATGCCTCTGATTCCCACCTGTGAAATAGAGGCGAAATCACGTTTGCCTCAAAGGGCTGTGTTCCATGCCTGACACTCAAATAGAAATTGTGCTCAACAAACATTAGGGCTGATTCTCAGTGTACCTACTGCATGGATTTGCAGAAGGCGGAGCGCATCAAGAGCTCCTCCTGGGAGCCTGTGGCCAAGGCTCCACAGCACCCTTGGTCACTGTTCCTGTCTCCACCGTGAAGATGGAGCCACGTCCCTCGCGGCCCCTGGCTGGGCCCCACCTCCCGGAGACTCAGGAAGAGCTCGGAATCGGTGCCAGCCTCGCCGGCTGTGGGCCCCACGGCGGTGATGAATAACTTGTTTATCTGCTGGAGCTGCTCCCACCGCTCTCTCGGTGCCTGGCAGGCAGAGGTCTGGAAGGGGCGGGTGGGGACGGGGAGGGCTGTTTCACCAGGCAGCCGCCGCCCCTCCTCCCTCCTCCTCTGCCCCACTCCCCAATTCAGCATCAACCTCCACCTAAACCTGCTTCCTGCACTTTTCTGCTGCTCATCTTCCCCTAAATCCTGTTTTGGAGCAGCAGGTTGAAGTGTTTGAAAACACAGGCTCTGAAATCAGACTGGATTCAAGTCCTGGCTTTGTTACTTGCCAGCCATGTGACTTCAGACACGACTTAACCTCTCAAAACCATCACTCCTCTGTAAAGTCTTCCCCTTCCCTCCCCCGCCCCCCACAGAGTCTCACTCTCTCCCCCAGGCTGGAGTGCAGTGGCACAATCATGGCTCACTGCAACCTCCGACTCCCAGGTTCAAGTGATCCTCCTGCCTTAGCCTTCTGAGTAGCTGAGATTACAGGTGCTCACCACCACAGCTACCTAATTGTTTTGCACTTTTAGTACAGATGGGATTCCACCATATTGCCCAGGCTGGTCTCAAACTCCTGACCTCAGGTGACCCTCCTGCCTTGGCCTCCCAAAGGGCTGAAATTATAAGCATGAGCCACTGTGCCAGCCTTCTCCCCTGTAAAGTTTGATGAGAACACTACTTATTCACCCTTGAGACAACCCACAAGGGTCCCCTCACCCCCACCTCCCAAAGCTGCCAGAATGCTTTTCCTGCTTGGAACCTACCTTGAGAGCCTACACCCTTACCCTGAAAGGGAGTCTCCAACTCTCGGCCTCCCTCCCACTTTCTTGCACAGAGAAAGGTTAGGTTAGGTTAGTCTTTTTGTGTTTATTTCTTTGAGGCAAGGTCTCTGCCTCCCAGGCTGGAATGCAGTGAGGCAACCATAGCTCACTGCAGCCTCAAGCTCCTGGGCTCAAGTGATCCTCCTGTCTCAGCCTCCCAAAGTGGTAGGATTATAGGCTTGAGCCGCCACACCTGGCCTCCAAATTGTATCTCTAATCTACTCCCTCTGCTATGGTCTGAATGTGCATATCCCTCTGCCCCCAAATTTTTACACTGAAACCTAAATCCCCAATGCAATAGTATTAAGAGGCAGGCTTTTGGGAGGGTTAGGGTTATGAGGACTCTGCCCCCATGAATGGATTAGCACCTATGTAAAAGAGGCTTCAGACCAGGTATGGTGGCTCATGCCTACAACCCCAACATTTTGGGAAGGCGAGTTGGGGGGACTGTTTGAGCCCAGGAGTTTGAGACCAGCCTGAGCAATTATAGTGAGACCTCATCTCTTAAAAAAAGAAAAGCAAAAAAACAAAAAACTAGCCAGGCATGGTGGTGCATCTGTAGAGCCAGCTACTTGGGCGGCTGAGGCAAAAGGATCTCTTGAGCCCAGGAGGCCGAGGTTGCAGTGAGCTGTGATTGTGCCACTGTACTACAGCCTGAGTAACAGAGTGAAACTCTTGTCTGTTAAAAAAGAAAAGAAAAGAAAAAGTGGGGGCTGGGCGCAGTGGCTCACTCCTGTAATCCCAGCACTTTGGGAGGCCAAGGCGGGCAGATCACTTGAGGCCAGGAGTTCGAGACCAGCCTGCTCAGCATGCTGAAACCCAACCTCTACTAAAAATACAAAAATTAGCCAGGCGTGGTGGCTCTTGCCTGTAATACCAGCTACTCGGGAGGCTGAGGCAGGAGAATCGTTTGAAACCAGGAGGCAAAAGTTGCAGTAAGCCGAGAG